TGACATCTCATACCCCCCCATGATACAGCCCCCATGTAACTCAGGTCACATGGTCTGGACACTAACTCCAAATCACTTAGAAACCTTGTGTCCTTGGCTTACATCCTCAAACAGTTCAGAATCTTCCTTTCCTTTTTTCTTTTTTTTTCCTTCTTGCCTTCTTTCTTTTTGAGACAGGGTCTTACTATGTAAACTGGCCTTCAAATCACTGTGTAGCCCAGGCTGGCCTCTCTCAAACTCTTGGTGATTCTCCTGCTTCAGCTTCTGCAGTGCTGGGATTATATGCGCGGTCCACCGTGCCTCGCTCAGAAACTTCCCATTCTTAACCCAGACCGCTAAGTGATTCCAAAATATAGCAGCCTGGATTCAGCCTGCCAAACCATTCCTGGAATTTGCACTTTGTATTCCCATCTGGAAGGACTCTGGAATTCTGACGGTCATGGACACAGATCCCCAGACAGCTCTGACACATCACATTCTGTGCAAAGTTGGCCACAGCAGACCCAGTAACTGGGACACAGACTGAAAACGGCTTAGGGACTTCAAATCACAGACACAGGCTCAGAGAATTTCTCACCTGAGACAGACACAGAACACCTAAGACATCACAGCCCGGTTGTATATGCCCACACGGTGGCTCTGGCACCTCACGTGAGGGGACACAAACACCCAAAGCGTTAACCTCGTGACCCGAACAGCAGCCGGACAATGCCAAAATGCCCAGAGCTAACAAACTATAAAGGCCCCAGGACACAGACGCCTGCAGCACCCAAGAAATACCAGAAACTGAAAATGGAACCTCAGACCCTGGAAAGAGACCTCCAGTAAGTCAGAGACTTCATACCCTGGGGCCGAGACTCCTCCACCAGGAAGCGTCTCACTCCTGGAAACATGACCCAGCAGTTGAGGAGCCTGGACACCAAGGAGTACAGAAATCTGAGATCTTACACTCTCGGACACAGAGGGTGAAACACCTTAAAGGTGTGACACACTCAAAAGCCTTCACACTCTGGGAACACAGCCTGAAGCTGCTCAGAAAAACCAATCCTAGGTCAAAACCCACAGCATTACAATAGACTTGTTCACAGAAACACTGGCTCAGGATGGTTCAGGGGGTGACCCCCTGTGCTCCAACATCCACGGGTTACCCTTCTCACATCTGAAAAGAGAGAGTTACAAAGCTCAGAGACATCAAAATCTGTGCAGGTCACCCAGAGACCACTACTGTTAAGAGAATTCACACACCATAGCCGGGCGTGGTGGCGCATGCTTGTAATCCCAACACTCAGGAGGCTGAGGCAGGAGGATCAATGTGAGCTTGAAGCCAGCTTGGACTACATAGTGAGACCCTGTATCAAAAAATAAAACTAAGAGGGAAAGAGATAGACACAGAGAGACCCTGGAAGAGACAGAGATAGGAGACAGATGGGAGAGAGACAGAGAGAGAGACAGAAAGAGACAGACAGAGACAGGGAGAGAGAGATAGGGAGAGAGGTAGAGAGACAGGGAGGGGGAGAAGGAGACGTAGAGAGAGACAGAGAGACAAAGAGACAGGGAAAGAGAGAGAGAGAGACAGAGAGAATCAGAGATAGAGACAGGGAGAGAGACAGAGACAGAAAGACAGAGAGAGACAGACAGGGAGAGAGAGAGGAGAGAGAGACAGGAGGGAGAGAAAGAGAGAGAGACAGGAAGAGAGAGACTGGGGGAGAGAGAGGGAGAGACAGGGAGAGAGACAGGGAGAGACAGGGAGACAGGGAGAGACAGGGAGAGACAGGGAGAGAGAGAGAGAGACTTCATACACTAAATACTGCACAGGCCTGCAGACCACCCAGAAGACTCTGTAATGAGTCACCTATATCATGCCCTAGGACTGAGACTTCTGAAAAGGAAAAGTCTTCCCTCCTGAAAATATATCTTAAAAGCCATGGAGGTGCACGCCTGTAATCCCAGCACTCGGGAGGCTGACGCAGGAGGATCGCTGCAAGTTTGAGACCAGCCTGGGCTACAAAGTGAGTTCAAGGGCAGCCTGAACTGCATAGCGAGACCCTGTCTCAAAAAATAAAATCCAAGGAGCCCTGAAACTGAAGAGCTCAGTGGCCACATATCCTAGGACACCCACAATGAAAGAGCTTGGTGGCTCTATAATATAAATACAGTCACCTAGACAACTCAGGGAACTCACCAGCAGGAATGCAAACCAGGAACTGCTCAGATGCTCAGAACCCCTGAATCCAGACATCCTTCTGAGGCTTAGGGTATAGACCTCACAACTAATTCAGAGAATTAATATGCTGGATGCTGAGCATCAAATAATTCCGAGATCTCCAATGTGGTACAGACACAACCAAGCAATCAGAGACCTCCCATCCTGGACGTATAACAAGCCAATCTGGGACTTCACATCCTGGACGTACACAACCAGAGACCTCATGTCCTAGAAATACACAGCGAACAGATCAGGGGCCACACCCCCTGTGACACACACACACACACACACACAC